TTTGGATGCGTCAATCATTTGACCTCATATTAAAAAAATTTACCCCATGATCTGCGTGACAAATCGTGTGTCTGATATTGGATTTCGACTTCTATATATGACCATATATGTGTGTTATGCTACACTATCTAATTTCTCCCCTACTTCTAATTGGTGTACCAAAATATTATCGCTTATTGAACAAAAAATAGACCACGCAACTTTTCAATTAAATTGTAAGATCAGGTGTAAGCAAAAAAAATGATGTAATTTATTTATGAATCTACCTCATGTGTCTTAAAAAAATTCCTTGCAACATTTTAGTAATACTTATATTTATTTTTCCTTAATGCCACAACAATGTTTTATAGCTTTAATATGTTTTTTTTTTGCCGTATTTTTATTTTTCTTCGGTCATTATGTCAGATCAGAATTTGTAATCAATTTCGTCCAATCAAGAAAGGTGTCCAATAGGAACTAGGAGAGAAAATTAATAAATCCTGTGTGTATAAGTAAAAATTGATGTACGCTGCTACGGCCAAGACTCATACCAAATTCTAGGCTCGATAACCAGAATTAAGTCTAAATTAGGATAAACGTTGGACACTTGTCTTTTGGTTTGAATATAATAGTTGGCTTTTAATAGAATATATAAACTGACTGTTAATAAAATATAGTTTGTCGGTTAGAGCGTAAGAATTACTCTGTATCGAATATCGCATCAATAGTAGTTATCAGTCAGCAAATAAGAATTATTCTGTATCATCGTAAATATTATCGTACCATAAGCAAGTGTTTTGAATAAATAAATGAAGACTTTGGTTGCATTCTTTTTTTATTTGGGTTTAAATGCGAAAATAAAAAGAACTTTAACACCAGAACAAATAGTTATAAGAAATGAATCGAGAGAGAAACGAAAAAGTCCAATAACTGAAGAGTAGCAGTTAGCTTATCGAAAAAGTGAATCAGAAAAGAGGCAGGCTCGTTGCAAACGTCAGTCAACTGATAATAAAGTGAAAGAAAATATAAATCAAGATGAACAGGCAAACATTTTAGAAAATGAAACATTACCGCCTGTTAACTTACTAATAATGATAGTAATCTTTTCAAAAAGTTCGTGAAGCTGTTACAAATCTTAGACATAATTTTATAAATAATCGCCATTTATAAAACTTTATTTTTTATAATACAATAAGACTTAAATTCTATTTCAAATTTGATTTTAAAGTATAATACCTAAGATTTAAAACTCTGGCTCACAAAACGACGCTGTTTTTTTAGTAAATATATAAAAAATTTTTTGATATTTTCTTTACAACATAACTTCGAATATTTCATTAGTTTTTTGTTTTTCACTTCAAACCTCTGAAAAACTATATAAACAATCAATATATACATATTTATATATAAAATAAATACAAAACTCAGTAGATATGAAAACCCAAGTTTAAATATTTGGGTTTTAATCTTGAAGTTTTTATGTCGTAATTACAATATATACAGTATATGTACATAAATTAAATTTAAAGCTAGGTGACTTTGTAAATATTTGAATTTCCAACATTATATAGGCCAAAAATAGATGAAGAAGTATTGCCTTGTAATGGTAAGGTTATCCAGAAGGGTAAATTACGACATAATTTAAATAAACAAGTTCTTCTCTTTACGAAATGCAGGTTCTCAACAAAACTTAGCGCGACTAACAAACCTCTTAAAGCTATTACAAAAAATCTTATCAAAAAATCATTCAAACTACAAAATTTAATATTTATCATTATTACTAGTGATTGAACTTGGGTGGGTCAGATATTCCAGATAGGCTTGGACAGATTGACCCGCGGGTCTACCCGTGAAAAAACCTGCGGTTTAACCCGTGGATCCTCAAAGAATTATTATTCGACTTAATATTCGCACAATTCACCTTATGGCACATAAAATATGCAATTTTGCATAATTTAAAGAAATTCGTGATTAAATAATTTATTATTAATAGTGATTAACTGATTACGTATTATGCTTTTTTGCATAAAATTTCGAATGCGTATGATTTTTATACATAAACTTCTACGTACGTACGTATGTTTTTTTTTTGTTTTTCGTGTAACCGTGTAAAACTTCGTGAGGCGACTGTACATGCAAAAGTCATTAAGTTTGTTCCTATACTAAATATTCTTTATATCTTAAAGTAAATTTAATAGTGCACGTAAATGCAACAAGTAAATAAATTTTAATATAATAAATATATATGTAAAATTGAGCATAAAAAGTATATATTTTTTTAATTTATTATCGAACGGTAAAATACCAATTAAAATATGACGTACGTTATCAGTAATTTTACAATTTAATACGTAGTAATGAATAAATATACTAGTTACTTTATTTGCAATTAATCATAATGATCTAAATATGAAATTTCAACTCGACTAAAGATACCATTTTCTAAATGAAGACTTTGTAAGTTTTTAATGTTACATTTATTTTTGAAATCATAGTGGATAATCGGACAATGATAAAAGCTACTTTAACTCAAGATTTCAACTTATAAGGGATAATGAATATAGTAAAAACAAATGATAATAAATATAGTAAAACAAATAACAGAAGTCATACAATTTTAACTAATCAGCTAATCCTAAGTTTATATTTTGTATTATATTCTTAAGAAAATTTTTTAAAAAATTGATTTTAAAGTATTTGGCATGTATTATAACTGATTAATAATTTAGCAAAAGGCGGTACAGCATAATGTAAGTCCGTTTCTCTAACAACTTTTTCTTCTAATTTTTCCATTTGTGCTTTTAACGTATTGGCCTCATCAGAAGAAATATCTGATCTTTGTAAATTATGCTTTATTTTCATGTAGTTACGAACCTTTAAATATAGCTGGTCCCAAGGCATTAAATCTGGTTTATAGTTTTCTTTGAAATTCTCTAAATGATCTAGTATCTTTTTCCTTGAGTTTTCTCTGTCTTCTCTGTTAAAAGCTAACCGTCGCTCACACTCAACTTCAACAGATGGATTATCGACATGAATGATTCCATTGCATGAGTTTAGCATTTCGGCAAGAAATTCATTTCCTTCAAATAAATCTTGACGATCTTCTTTACATTTAGCAGAATTCTTGAAATTAGGAAAATTGGTTCTTATTATAGTAGTATGTTTAATGATATTACTTTCAAAAATAGCTCCTTTTATTAACTCAAAAGCGTCTATTTCTTCTTTAGTGAATCTTCTTCCTACAACAAACAAAATTTGATTTATTCCTTCTTTAATAGCATAGACAGCTTCGGTTATTTCTATTAAGACATCATTTTTAGATAATCTATTATCTCCCATTCCTATTGTATCTACTACTCGATATGTTGTTCCATTATGTGTAAATATCTCATCTAGAAATTTTCTGGTCTCACTAATTGATTTTTCGCTTTCTTTAAATCTGCTTGTATCACTCAATACATTCGCAAGTGCTGATTTACCATTACCAGTGCGCCCTACTATTAACAAGTTTTTAATTTCCGCAGATTGTTCTTGAACTTCTTCTACCTCATTATTTTTTACAAATCTTTTATATGATAGTTTTCTCGATTTAGTTTTCTTATACTTCTTAAAATCTTCCCCAAAAGGCTCAAGTTTTTCTTTAATTTTTGCAACTTTGGCTTCAGGCCGATAAACTCTAAATCTAAAGTCTTTTAAACTATCTGGTAAATAACTCAGGCCTTTGCTAATATCAGTGTTTGAAATATCCAAAGCTTCTAATTGAGTCAAATCTTTTAAAGATCTTAGATGACCATAAAAACGATTATAAAAACAATGATCCATTTTGTATTTGTCATTGGTTCCTATAAATAAAGTTTTTAAATTGATGAATTTGCAAAAGTAATTCAAATCAATTTTATCAATATTATTATTCATTATGTTTAAATAAGTTAATTTTTCAGGATAAATGAAATCTCCAGGAAGACTAGTAAGAATATTGTTCGCAAAAATTATTCTCTCTAATTCATAACAGTCGCTTACATCTAATTTAGTTATATCATGAAGAGACAAATCCAATTCTACAAGGCCACAAAAATTATCCAAAAGTAATTCACCAATTAATTTTAGAGTATTATCTTTACATTCTAATGATATAATGTCATTTCGTTTTTCTTTTGGGTAATTTTGATCCAACCATTCCTGAGCTTCTGTCATATTATTTAAACTGTTATTATTTTTTTTTTTGCAAAAAGAGAGTGCTTGAAACTATTCAAATATATTATGAATTTCCCAACAGAAAAAAACCCGAAATATTGTATGTTATATCGAGCACAAATTTTATATAGCTAAATGGAATATTATTTTAATTTGTTTAATTTGTATTTGTATATGTGTGTGGGAAATTCAAAATAATTGTTACGACCGGAACTTCATTCCAAACTTGGAATGTTGAAAACTCAGAGCTAGAAATCAAATTATCAAATTTGGGAAAAGCAGGTTGTAATGACGTTGATTTAGTTCCAATAGTAAACAATATTAAAGTAGGTAATAAGATAGTAAATACATGAGATAAAGTAATCTGGATTAAGTGGATCTCAGGTTCTGGCATATCGATATCGTAAATGTGTACAAGGTTGATGGCGCAGACCTCATGACAGATTTCAAGGTTAGGTGCAACGTAATACGCTTAGAAAGATTCATGACAAACGTTCATTCTGCCAAAAATTGCTTATTGCTCAAAAAACAGCATAAGAAACCACCTTTTGTACTCTAATAAAAAGTTTTCGTTGAACAATTTCACTATATAGACTATCTCCTCTAGATCCTAACTTTGACCTTAACCTTACCGAATTTTAAGAATTTAGTCTTCGCCACCAACCTTGTACACATTTACAATACACCAGATTCAGACGTTTGTTCTGGATTTTAATCTAGGTCTCAGGCCCAAACATGGTTTGGGTTGTAATTTTAGTTAATCTAGGTCTTAGATTTTCGTATTTCTTGAGTTTAATTTTTAAATTAAATATTTATCGCCACTGGTGATTGTCACCAGTGTAACATAAACTAATAAATATTTAACGTAACTCAAACTATTTTTGCACAAAATATTTCCTCAATCACAATATATTGTAACATAGCATAATCAGGAAACATTTCATCATCTGTCTAAAACTCAAAAGTTTGCATAATGATAAGAAATTATCATTGTTGAGCAATTTTACTACTAATCTTTACTATCAACCAATCCTAACTCAACCCTAACCTTAAACAACCTAACTCTACCATAACCCTAAACCAACCTAACTCTAACCTTATCGAAATTTTGATTTCATCATTATTATGTGACTAAAGTGATACTGAGAGCTGCCCAAACAAAATTCTGCAGCCACATTATGATTGGCAAAAAATTATTTATTTTTTAACTATGATTTGGTGTAATGTAACATTCAAAGCAAACGTTCGTTTTGTCAATGATGGCTTATTTCTCAAAAATTTCCATAAGAAATCACCACTTACGCATTAACAAAAGGTTTTCCTTGAGTGATTTGTTATTAAATGTCTAGCATTTTATTTAAATATAGACTCTACTCCTAATCTAAATGAACTTTAAAAAATTTCGCCGATGTTATATAACTGCAAAATTTTGTTGCCAATTCTGGTTAAGATGATACTGGGAAAGATCATATTACACATGCATTATACATAACGATTCTAAATTTTTTTTCTTTTATAGTATCCTAAAGGGTTTAAATTCTAAGCTAGAAAACTATTTTGAACTGGCTCTAAACTAGAAACAATACTTAAGTTAAATCTGGCAAACTTTATAAAATGTTAGTAGGTCAGTATTAGGGATGGACTCGGTCGTTTACGGTCGGTTATCGGTCGGTTATTACCGGCTAGCCGCGGCTATAGCCGATCAATTATTTCATCAAATATTTAATTGTGACAAACTAATTGTATCAATTGTATGTTGGTTTAATAAGGAAGTTTTAAGAAGAGTTAACCCAGTGATCATTGCAATATCACGTGACAACCATTTGGCCCGAGTTAGGGTTAGTTTAGAGGATATAGTTTAGTCAAGGTTGTTTAATTCTGGTAAACAAATGATGTCATG